GCAGTGAAGCATGAATACCCTACTCAGACACATTATACCTGACTCCAAGCCGACCAGATCTTATTGTACCCATTAATCCCAAGTGCCAGGCAGGGACCAACAACTACCATATTTTAATGTCTTTTGGTATGACGCAGGGATCGAACCAGTGACTTTCCGCTCTCTGGGCGGATGCTCTAACCACTACACCAGTGAGTGAGTGAGTGAGTGAGTGAATGAACGAGCGGGTTGTGTTTTACGCCACTTTTAGCAGCAATATCAAGGCAGGGGACACCAGAAATGGGCTCCTGTCAAATAATGTAATTTGTTGAAATGACTGCTGTTTATTAGAGGTATTAGACAGAACACAAAGAACCCTGGGTTGTGGCGTGAATCTATTTGCTCCAACAGATCACTTTGTATTCAACAATTGCTAAGTTTGCGCTTTTCACATTTTCAGAACCACACTCTAGAGCAAATATTAGTTTTCTATCAAGCTAACACAGATGATAGATATGTTACCCTTTAGCAAGTTATCAATGTGAAAAATTTCTCATTCAAAATGATTTGCATTTGAGAAATGTGAATATCAACAGGTGAGGTGAGGTGAAATGGGAGTGTGAACAGGCAAACACCAGGCACTGGACAAACTGTCCCTGTGACACAACCTGACTCAGGGATCAAATCTGTTAACTGTGACATGACACATCCTGGTGAGTCAGGGACGATGTTGAAAATAGCCTCTTGCATGACAAACAGACATTTGTGTGACGGGCAACGCATTGGGCAGCTACCACCTGCAGGTACATGCTGAAGTTGGACTTGATCTCCATACCTTGCCCTCGTCACAAACAAACACAAATAGTATGTTTACAGCAGGTAAAATTATGATTCATATTTTTCATTGTATAACTTTGAAACTGAAGATCAATTTAAACCCATCGATTGATGTAATGTGAAATGACAGGAATTGACTTGTCACCTCATATAGTCTTGACTACCTTCCATAATGTTCAAATCTATGCTGAAATACACTTAACTCCGTAAATATCTAAATATGGTAACCTCCACCTCATTGCTCATCAAACCACTGTCAAACATGATGTTATGAACCTAAAATGAATCTTAACAGACACCATGTAGTACAATAATAACAGGGTTGACGTTTTATGTGACGCGCAAATGTGTGTGTCCAAGTACGCTCAAATGTAGAGAATGGACGAGAGAAAAAATATCACTGCATTATAGTGCATAACAAAACATCGAGGGTACATCAGCCCATGTCCCCCTCGAGACCAGTGACCAACTTATAATGTTGTCTTTCAGTGGCATTTAGAAGTTGTACATTGATGTCCAAGATATTTTTATGGATTAAACTTCTTTTTAATTTCTCTCACGATGTTTCGAGACCATTCCAGGTCCCTTCATCAGGTGAACTGGCAGTTAGGACTATGATGTCGTCACTATGACGTCATAACTGAGTTATGACGTCACAATGCAAGTGACATCACAGTACACTAGGGAGAGTACTGTATAAGTGAGTTTGAAGAGTTAATTACATAATGATGAAAATTCATGCTAAATAATAGAGTTGACAGTTGAATTGTCAATACACAACAACTGCTAATTACACAAAAGTTACTTGATAGCAGGCTTTCCAAAAAGAATAGTAGACTCGTTTTTCTTTTATCTAAAGTTCATCAAAAGTTAATCAAGAGGTCTCACGCACTTGGCAGGTATACACCTTGATCATGATTCATTGCTGGTTTATGTCTCCTTATCTCGACAGCCTCCTGTAGTTTTCTCCGACGCCAGTCGTTGTTATTTCTCGAAATCACCCTGATATCATTCCACATGATTACATGACTTGGGTTATTTGCCTTGTGCTCCGATATAGCTGACTTATCATTTTGTTTGCATACTGACGACTTGTGTTCAGCAACCCGGGTGTTAATGGGCCTGAGAGTCTCGCCAATATTGCATTGTGACGTCATAACAGTTATGACGTCATAGTGATGACATCATAGTCCTAACTGCCAGTTCACCTGATGACTGACTGACTGAGTGAGTTTGGTTTTACGCCGCTTTTAGCAATATTCCAGCAACATCACGGCAGGGGACACCAGAAATTGTCTTCACACATTGTACCCATGTGGGGATTCGAACCCAGGTCTTTGGCGTGACGAGCCAACGCTTTAACCACTAGGCTACCCAACCGCCCCTTCACCTGATGAAGGGACCTGGAATGGTCTCGAAATGTTGTGAGAGAAATTAAAAAGAAGTTTAATCCATAAAAATATCTTGGACAACTTATAATGTCTTCAACACTAGGCTATCCCAAAGCCCCTAATGTTTGTGGAGGCTATTGTGCACAGACACTACTTTTGGTGATTATAGAGAACTGACGAAGAAATTTAATGGATTGACAACTTCTTTATAGTTTATTTCAATAGATGTGATGTTTCTGTAAATGCTTACCCTGTCATCAAGCAAGCGATACACAATATTATGCACAAGGAGAATATATACATGAATAATATTTGAGTTCATACAATTGAAAAGGTTGATGTACATTGTGATGACAATATTACTAATATCTGTTCTGATTGTAGATAATGGCTAGGAGGAGAGATGGAAAAAGGGTAGGGACAGGTTATTCTTGACTGGCCTTTGATTAATAACCTTTAGATCAACAGAGATCAAGGTTATTAGATCCCTACAGCTTACCATCATCTACATTATCAGAATGTTTATCAACCTCTTCAATTGTATAAATAGAGAATCTCACCCGAGTGTCTTTTGATATGAAATATATCACCACGAGTTGATAAAGATACAAATATCTGAGGCTTGCCGAGGATATTTTTACTTATATCAACAAGTGTTGACATATTTGATATCAGAAGACACGAGGGTGAGATTCTATTTATCATCAAAAATTACTCTCCATTAGTTTTCAATGAAAAATGTACGTCTCTGAACACGGTACGGCCATGAGACTTACAGCGTAGCGATGTCATAGCATTGTGACATCATTGTGACATCAAGTTCATGACGTCATCTACTGTCAAAACGATATCTCCTTGGAGATATAGAGGAACTAAACGACCTTCCGTGTAATACCAATTTTATTGAACGAGTTAATGATTTGATGTTAAATCATTCACAAGTTTAATAAAAATGGTTTTTCACGGAAGCGAGTTTAGTATTCTGTTAATTACTCTCCAACATAAATTGATAGAAACTGCCTACAGTGTGATGAGTCTCATATCAATTTTCTGCGAGCCAAACAAGGTCTAATACCATTGCCACAGAGGCATTAGCATTGTGACGTCATAACTGTAACCATTATGACGTCATACGTCTAGCGGTATTACACTAGTGTGTAAAATAAAAATATTACACTGCAGTATCTTCCACGGGCGAGTAATAAATTGTTGATCTCACACAAGCAATATCAGTTTTGGATGATAAACTCAAACATCCTTCATGTATATATTCTCCTTGTGCATTATGTTGTGTATCACGTGCTTGATGACAAGATTAGCATTTACCCTGAAACGTCGTATCTCTATTGAAATAAAGAAATTGACAATCCATTTTGTTCCTCTTATACCAGCTCCTAAATGCCACATAAAGAAGTTACAGAGAAGTCTTGGAACATTTTAATCAAAAAATAAACTTCAAAAGAGTTCAGTTCACCCTTAGGGATATCTCCAGATTCACTGTGATACACATTATACAACATTCTTGCTTGAAACAGAACAAAAGTCTCGTTCTTATATCTATTTTCAAACCGAACCCCTTCATATATAGCTCACCTGCATACGTGAGGTATACCCAGAGTATGTAAAATCTATACACTCGCGTAAACTTGATTCGTGGATATAGGGAAGTGTGGCGGAATTCATCTTATAAATGCATGATTTCATTTTGTATACGCACTGATTATTTCATTCATTGATTCAGCAAATTGAAAATGCCTAATATTCCACTCATGAATGAAACGTTTGTTTACTCAAGCCATTTGCAATCATCACCCATTCATGTGCCCACAAAATGTGACGTCACCTTATTTCGTGGATTACGTAGTCAGTTACTTTATACCACTGTGTACGACATCCCACTGCAGTAAGTATTGACAACAAGAAAATCAGACGAGAAGTGAGAAGGTTGGAGCTAACGGTATCTTTTTTACTTGACATTTTGTAAAAATAAAATTTGGCAATGGTGGTATTAGTGATCTGGGGCTATTCATCACAATGATGGACAATTACATTAAGTGTACTTGCGTGTAATGCAGAGATTCAGAACTTTTTTGTCAGCGAGACGTGGCATTGTATGTACATCAAAAGTACCGCTTCGTAACGTCAGTCGAGACTCAATTTACGAGCTAGCATAATAATTTTTGCGATCCACGAATCATGGTTATCCACGAATTTAAGTTACGGTTCTGTACATCTTCTAAATAATAGCTGTTACAACAATGTTTCACAAACACAGGTACCCTTAGAGTTCATTGCACTCCAAGACTGTGAGACACCCATTTTGATATTTTCGTTATTCTTCCAGTGTTTGTGAAACGTGTCCATTATGTTACTAATTGACACCACCATCGCCAAAACATACATCCCTAACATGAGATGAGGAGTTTCATGCAGCATTAGCCAAACATTATTCAATTCGCTTATAAATCTAAATGTTGTCCAGAAACGAGAGGGTTTTTAATCTACTGTAGCCATATTCTCATAAATATATCAGTTATAATTAACTCTGAACAGTCGATCAAGTGCTGACATTAGTGACGAGGCCATGTTCAAATTAGGAAGTGGATAGTCACGATCCAGTTGCCGGTGAACAGTTGCTGGTAAATGTCGTGTGATTTTCTACTCACCAAATTCAGTCGCTGCAAATGATATGAGTTCTGAAGCAGTATAGATAATGTGTAATTGCTACACCGTGTTTAAACAAAGCCGTAGAGAGGCGTGGTGAAAATAACTGATAACCCAGCTAGTTCATACCTGTACAACCACTTGCTCACCCACACAGTTAACCTCTGGGATTGGAAACAACCGGACCGGGCCAAAATTTAACTGACGGCGCTCCGGACGACAGTGGAATGACGACGACCAACATGGCCCACTAGCAAAACGGCCACAATTAAAGAAGTCAAAACGGTCCAAGAAAAACCTAGAAACTGGAGAAGAAAGTATAATAAAATTCAGTTTATCTACAATAATAATAGTATAATTAACATTAAAGTTACTTTTGTGTGATTGAGACACAGTCACGTTAAAGATAACACTTGTGAATTTGTGTTCATTCTATGATTCGACTTCAGAGATACCACAAACTGACTATTTTCATAACAGGATATGAAGATATGGACGATATTTGTATTTCCTTCCAAAAAAATATCAATTAAGAGACTTGACAGGTGATCGGAACGAAAGTCACAGAAAAAAAATCACGGGAAAAAGTCACAATTTTGGCTAGGAAAAAAAATCACATTAAAAAAATATTATTAATTCAATAAGTTATGTTTTTATCTTCATGATCATAAATCATACGTTTATAATCAAATAATAAATTCCAGCACTCAGTATTTTAATTAGATAATGGAAATTGATATAGTCCTCACAGTTCTACTATATAATAAACTATTATATGGTCTCTGCTTTCAGAGATCAGGGACTACTGTACATGTGTCCTTCAAATACTATTTTCAAACCGCCTTTGTGCTCTTTATAAAATCCACGCCGAAGACCCGGGTTCGAATCCCCACATGGGCACAATGTGTGAAGCCCATTTCTGGTGTCCCCCGCCGTGATGTTGCTGGAATATTGCTAAAAGCGGCGTAAAACCAAACTCACTCAGTCAGTCAGTCTTTATACAATCCATGATGGAAATGTGAAAGGTAAAAATCTAACATTAAAACTTTGTCAGTTGATTGTGTTCAACTGTTTTCATATCACAAAATAAACTTGTTTTAGTCCATATACATACTATTGAAACAGACGTTTTGCGATGTTCCTGATTATAGCAAACCGCGTTTTGTTTACCGGAAGCAGGAAGTACTTCTTGCAAAATGGCGACATTATTGAATCTTTCCTGACGTGTCAGGCGAAGTATCGTTACGTGTTCCTAAACATTGATATGTTTTGTAACTAAATGACGGATATTGCTTTAATGCCCACCACTGAATATTCAAAGAACCCGTTCGAGTAAAGGTTATTGACGCTTGCTTGGAAATCGTCACAAGAATGGTTCGCATTTTGAGTAATGGTGATATTGTCCCTGATGACGACCCCAGGGCGAGTCAGGCATCGAGCAGGGGAGGAAATTCTTCAAGGCCACAGCCAAGACAGGTACATCGTTTGGTTTACATGATACTGACGGGATCTAGTCAAATGGGCCGAAGGACAAAAGGGCCGAGACGTGCCAAGTCAAATGGGCCGTGGTGAAAGTCAGATGGGCCGTGACAAAATGTCAAAAGAGCCTTATTCTTAGTCATATGGGCCGATCAGAAAAAAAAGTTTACAAATGTTTATCATTTTTTATTGGCATATATAGACTATTTTAAAGCGCTGTCTCGCTATATCGCGGTAATTGCTCCGTCTCTCTTCACTTGCATCTTTAGAGTCAAACAACCCTTTACGATCCTTAGGGTTAGGGTTAGGCACCCTTTACGAACCTTAGGGTTAGGGTTAGGGAACCTTTACGATCCATAGAGTTTAGGTTTAGCACCCTTTCTGATGTTGAGCAGTTTAGGTTTAGGGTTAGGGTATGGCACCCTTTCCGATCCTTAGGGTTAGGTTTGGGAGAGGGTTAGGTACCCTTTCCGATTCTTATTTAGGGTTTGACTTTACCTTAGGGCAGTATAATCCTATTATATCCAATTGAAACACATTTCGATCCATCCGGTACTCGTCAGTACAGTCCAAGAAATAATGGCGTAAAAAAAAAATGGGAAGGGTGTGGCACAGTGGGGCAAAAGCGCGAGATATGTAAACAAACCATTGCGCGTTCACAGTGGTTTGTTTTCATTTCTCACGCTTCCGCCTCACTTCTGTGCAAATGACCTGTTAAACGAGCACTCATTAACTGTGATGGTGCTCGTGGTCCCGAGGTATTATGTCACTAATTAACGAAGTCAGTAATCAGGCTGTATTTTCTTGGCTCACACTTTCCGTAAAGATGCCGAATTTAAAAAAATCTTAGCACAGTGCTTATATTGCATGATAAAAAGCAGAGAAATTTACTTTTTTTAACGCATCACAAAAGTTTTGACAACATTTAGCGGTGTCTATTTCTCCACCGCCGAGGTATTTGCACTTATATTTATACCAACGGATAGAAAATTTAATTTTCTACATTTCTGTGTAATTTTATGGCAGTACGCTGATCCAGGACCACGCGAGCGCAAATCTTGCACAACATTCACTTTTCAAACCTTATGAAAATGTTAGTCTGAAAAAAACCTCGGCATCCAGGGGGTTAACATCGGGGAGGAGTCGGCCAAATGCCTTCCATGTGGCGGCTTCAAAATCGATCATGATACATCGGACTTGGGGCGGACGGGGTAGGACATGCATCATCTTTCGGATGACTTTGATATAGTCAATGGTCCTGCAACGTGACATGAGAATGAAGCAGAGAGGCATCATCTTCATCTGCTGACCGGCCTTCAGCTATCCATGTACAGACAGTAGTTGATAGAAGGGACTTTTAACTATTTTAAATGTCCCATCTACAAACCACTGCTGTGCCATGGATAACTGAGCTAATTGCCGGTCAGTAGTCAAATGTTCAAATTCCATTTAAAATAACAACAACAAAGTAAACACTATGTACACTATTATATTTTGTAATTTATTAAATTTATATTTTTCGGCCCTTTTTCAACCTGTTTGACTTTTTGATTTTGGCCCATTTGACTTTTGGCCTCGGCCCTTTTGACTTTTTTTTCCCGGCCCATTTGTCCTTCAGCCCATTTGACTACAACCAGGTGGAGTGGGGGCTAAACGCACGGAGCAAATGGCTGTTTGCACTTTGAACTGAGTCTTTCTACATGTTCTATAAGTCAATTGACAAAAGGACACTTCACATTTATAATAATGGTAGAAACAATGGTAAGACTTCCGCCTCTATCCCGTTAAATTTTAATGATGTGGAAAAAGATCTATTTATATATCCGAATTACATTGCATCAAATATGATGTCAAACATTTTGTGATATACCAGGACAGCAACAAGGAGTAGAAAATGGTAAGACTTCTGCCTCTATCCCGTTAAATTTTAATGACTGACTTTTATGCAGCTTTTAGCAATATTCCAGCAATATCACGGTGGGGGACACCAGAAATGGGCTTCACACATTGTACCCATTTGGGGATCGGTCTTTGGCGTGACGAGCCAACGCTTTAAGTTTAACCATTAGGCTACCCCACCGCCCCAAATTTTAATGATGAGGAAAAAAGATATATTTATATATTCAGGTAATATGATTGAATTTAAGGCTGAATACGGGTGGAAGTCTTTCCATGGTCACCTTTGTGTTAAGGTCTCTTGGTACAACAGCACCCAGTGTCACAAATACCTGTCCACAGATCACATTCATCGCATGATGCAGCTGCTTTGCTTAGGATTAGAGGGGCGGTGAGGTAGCTGAGTGGTGAAAGCATTCGCTTGTGATGCCGAATACCCGGGTTCAATTCCCCACAAGTGTGAAGCCCACTTCTGTTGTCTCTGCTGTGATATTGCTGGAGCATAGTGGAGAAAAGCTAACTTGCTCACTCAGTCACTTTGGACAAACTGTATTCGCCAATCTGTGATGTTTTGTTGAGGTGGAGTTTTAGATACGTACGCACCATATGCCTCATATCTGACCAGTTCAGATGTCATTTTAGCATGGTTAGTTCATATACAATTACCAGAGTTGGGGAGAAAGCAGGAGTACTCTGGCCACCATGCCAGGCACATTATTTTGAGATAATAATGTTTCCTCAAGACAAAAGCTTGTTTATCTTGTTCTACTTTCCTTACCTTTAATGGTGAAGTTTCTGTCCACAGGGCTATGTTCGCCATGATGAAGATGCTCAGCAAGGGATGAATGGCCAGCAAGTTTCAATATTTGACTCCTTAAACCAAAGACTTCTAGCAGCAGGAATTCCTCGGTTCAATGTGGGCCAGATGACTGTGGAGCCGATCGTGTCAGTCGGATTCTGCCTGGCTGGTCTCCTGCTTGGCGTAAAAGGACTACTGTTTGGTGCTGTGTTGTTCTTTGTAGCTAAGATGAGCACTGGTAATGGCATTCCTGGATTTGGAGCTTTTGGGGAAGGGGGAGGTCAAGGTGGTGGAGGAGGTCAAAGACAGGGCAGGGGAAGGGGATCAGGGCAGAGGTTAGGCAGGTAGTAAATGGGTTGGGGTCAAACTGAAATATTGTTTTATTCCATTCATAAAATGCAAAATGATAATGCAATATTTATATATGCAGACTAAAAAAATTTTGAATTGTTATGCAATTACAAGGGAATTATATTTGAATGTAGATGTAAGTAGTGACTTACGATATGCTTTTATCAGTAAAGATGGTTATCACACAGAAAGATATTCATCTTTTTTTCCTCTGTTTTGAACTGTAATAACATCATTTTTGATCATCTTTGACATGATCAAAATGATGCAGATTAAGAATATATTGAATTGTTATACAATTACAAGGGAATTACATTTGAATGTAGATGTAAGCAGTGATTGTATTTACCTGGCCGATATGTTTTTATCAGTACAGCCCAGCTTAGGTTGCATACTTCCGCTATTGAGTTGAGTATAGAAATCAACTAAAACTCAAGGACAGTATGTGGTTTATGAATTTGGAAGCAATTAGAATAGTTGGTTTCAGGACATAATACGTAAGTTTATATTGGAGTCTATTGTAGTTTCTTTTGTATGAAACATTTTGAACACTAATAAAATATATCTACAAATCTACTTCGTATTCATAATTCTTTGGACCATTTAACATGTCTGATGCTTAAAAGCAAGCGCAGCAAATGTCCTGAGAATGGGAAGGATAATATCTGGATGAACAACTTCTGTATTATCGCTCTCACGGTAATAAAGAAGTTGTTATCCTTCCTTACTACTCCAACTTCCTGAGAACATTTTAAAATTTTGAAGCCATTTTAAAACAACATGAAGTTCGATACTGTTGAATTCCTGTGGGTGCAGTGAAGCCATTGATGTATATTTTGTGGGGATTCTTGGCCAGAGCAGTGCACAGTGTTGTTTTTGTGATAACTGAATTCTGGGTCAAGTGAACACAGTGTCTGCCGAGGGGTAGCCTAGTGGTTAAGGCGTTCGCTTGTCACACCAAAGACCTGGGTTTGATTCCCCACATGGGCTCAATGTGTGAATCCCATTTGTGCTGTCCCCCCACCATGGTATTGCTGGAATTTTCTTGCGAGCGGCAGAAAACTAAACTCACTTACTCTAAATCAATTCAACATGGTTCACGGGTTTCTAGGTTCCTTAAGATTTTTTCCGAAAGGCATCTTAATTAGTATTTGTTCAAATGTAGCATAACATTATACTAGTGCTACATATTTCAGTTTTCCCCTTATCATTAGTTGAAAAGTCTTCTGAAGTACTGCACAGTAATGTCCCTTGGGCATGCCAGAAACCCACGAGTGTGTGTTCCAATTCTGGTTTGTGACACTTCTGGTTTCTTTGACAGAACTATACTCAAAGTAGTTAAGGTCCAAGAATTGCATCATTTTGAAGTTGTTCTCTGAGATTAAAACGGAACATTTTTCAAAGTGGTAGTAGACCCTATTTAACAACTCACTTATGGTTGCAGTGAAGAGATGTTGCACGTGTGCATTGTGCAGGTCTGTTGAGGTCATGTATACATGTTGCTTACAAGGTTTAAATTGGCTTGAAAAAAGCCTTGAATTGAGATGTTCCTTTCAAGAAGCCTTGTTATTGTGTGTCAATCTTGACAAGACTTAGAAATAACCAAATAGCTTGAAAAGATTTGTATTTGTGCTAAAAGGCATACACTTGTTACAAACACATTAGAATATGTAACAATATTTATTTTATTGTCTGTTATGGATATGAATTTGGTGCAATGTTCACAATGCTCTTTGGGTGTGACCTCTGACATGTTTATGGGCCAAGTGAAAACATATTGCCAGACGAAGGCTCTTTATCCAATTTTAAATGCCTTGAAAATGACATTTTTAATTGTGTAGTCAGATGGGTTTTGTTATAATTTACAGTTTATTCTAGTCGTGTACAAACAGCCTAAGGTTTAAAACTAAAAGTCTTCCTCATATCCTAGATTTTCGATGCTTGTTCATTAGATAGTTCAAAATGTTTCACTGTTCACACCAGAAGTTTGTATGCATCAGATACAGTACCAAACCAGAAGTTGATATGTACCAACTACCGTACCAAACCGGAAGGTCTTATGTAGCGACTACCGTTTACTCTCTGGACAGGATTGATTAAGATATATTTGCCATACACGCGAGAGCTCTTAAGACAAATAGCTGGTGTAGTCCAAAAGGTGCCAGGTAGTCTCGCTGAGGTAAAATAACAAGCCACATGAAGATTTTTTTGCGTTGGCGGAGCCAATGGGGGTCGGAACCCCAGACACACACAGCACACACACACACCCCATCGAATACATGTAGTCTCCAAGGTAAAAGCTTATTCTAAGCCAAGAAGTACTTGTACCATCCACTTAAGCGCCATCCAAGCACCTGGTAGCATATCGTAACAGGTAACGCCTTTTGTCATGATGCGACCGAGGATGGAACCACGAACTTTACAGAGACTACTGAAAGATGATGTCACAGTGATTAATGTAAATAAACTAATTACATAAAATGCTGACATCAAATTTTGGTAGGACATTGTGTTTTTCCCTTAATGCCGAACGCCAGGGAGTGCAACAACAGGGGTAAAGTCTTTAGGTATGAAGCGGCTGATGATGGAATCACGAACTTCAAATGCTTAATTACAATATGATTATGATGGCTTGTCTTTCACGCATCCCCCAGCAATATATCGGCTATGTGATAGTGTGGAAATACTCTACGCAACAGGAGTGTGATGGAGAGCATCATCCAACACAATCCTGGCCACCCGATCCCGTTCGTATCTTCTCGGACAAGCAGGGTTTGCTGAAGGTTAATTTCAATACGGATCGTCACGGGTCCTATTGAGTGAGTGGGTGAGTTTAGTTTTACGCCACACTCAGCAATATTCCAGCTGTATGGTGGCGGTCTGTAAATAATCGTGTCTGGACCAGACAATCCAGTGATCAACAGCATGAGCATCGATCTGCGCAATTGGGAGCCGATGACGTGTCAAACAAGCCAGCGAGCCTGACCACCCGATCCCGTTAGTCGCCTTTTACGACAAGCATGGGTTACTGAAGATTCATTCTAACCCGGACCTTCACGGGTCTCACGGGTCCTAGTGGCTGAAAGTCCCAAGACTGATTAACGAACAAGTGAGGAGCTTTTTTTATAGGTTTATTCATATACAGAAATTACACATTGTGCCCATACAACACGACGGTGCTAGTCAGACAGTTAATACATTCATTGTTTCAACAATGACGTCAACGTACCTTCAGAATACGATGAGACTTCGTTAACAACAACCACAGTTCACAGTTTGATTTTCGTATGTGATAATAATAGGACGACTTGTAAAACACTGTAACTTCACTCGTGGTCGGCAAGGATATGTCAACACACAGTCATTACATTTCGATGTTACGGAAGTAGCTTGACCTTTAGATATACACAGTTCAATTATTTGAGATAACATTTAACAAAAACCGCAGAAACACGATCACCTTATGGCCGTCTTTCTTGTGTCATATTTAAAATGTATGTGTGAGGGAGGTAATAAGAATCAAGCAAATGCCACTTGGATCCAGCTTATACAGTAATACAAACTGTTTGTACATGTTTATGACATCCATTCCAAGAATTGGTAACCCATTGTTTGCTTAACTTTAATAAAGTGGTCAGCAAAGACGTCACATGGCATCATGGGTCTATTGTTATTTGGCCGAATGGTCTAAGGCGACACAGTTCTCTATGTTGGGTTGCGTCACCTGGGCAGGCTTGGGACCTCTGATTGTGGGTTTGAATTCCAGTTCGCCTCCAATATGTTTCGAGGTTCGTTAACGCCATACCAGTTCTTGTGGATTTCACCAAACTGGTACACGTCTGAGACCTGCAACTCTTCGGGCCTTTCTCCCATATCAATCTGACACGACGTGGCATAACTGTAATACTGTTAAAAGTGGCATCAATTCCAACTCTCAGACTTATTCCCTGTGTTGCTTAGTTGATATCTTTCTCTTGATGCTTCTCAATAGAGTTGTTGGAAAGGTCAGCCTTCTGGGTGACTGACTGAATTTGTCCTTGTAAACATGCACAGCTGTCTGATCAGCTGACGAAATAGCCTGTCAACTTGTTCCTTGTCTGCCGTCGATACTTCCATGTACATATGTTCCAGGTCATTGGTGGCCACAGCATCGGCGACTTGCCATATGGGAGTCTTCCTTTCGGCATTCATGTCTACCTTATTGGCTACAATAAATATTGGAACTTTCTGCTCACCTTTCAGCTCCAGAATCAGATCCCTGAGTTTGTGACACCCAAGTCACGTATTCTCTGTTATTTAGCTGACATCTTTCTCTTGATGCTACTCAATAGAGTTGTTGGAAAGGTCAGCCTTCTGGGTGACTGACTAAATTTGTCCTTGTAAACAGTGCACGCCTGTCTGATCAGCTGACGAAATAACATATCAACTTGTTCCTTGTCTGCCGTCGACACTTCCATGTACATATGTTGCCAGTCAATGGTGGCCACAGCATCGGCGACTTGCCATATGGGAGTCTTCCTTTCGGCATTCATGTCCACCTTATTGGCTACGATAAATATTGGAAGTTTCTGCTCACCTTTCAGCTCCAGAATAAGATCCCTGAATTTGTACAGTTCCTCAAATGAATCTTTGTCCACAACAGAATACATCAGTATGAAAGCTTCTCCGTCCTCAATGGCCATTTGCCTCAAAGAAGGGACAGAGTCACCTCTCGTGATATCAACAATTTCCAAACCGAATCGCATACCCCTGTCTTTAAATTGTCGTGTGTATATGGTCTCAAATGTGCCTTTGTATTTTTCAAGAAACTCACCATCAAGAAACTGAGATATCAGTGTGCTCTTTCCTACTCCTTCTCCTCCCAAGACCACAATTTTCAATTCCTCTTCCTTCCTGGTATGATGGAGGGACTTAGAGAGGGGCTTTACTGGGCCATTCTTACGAGTAGCCATGGTGAACGAGCAGGTGATGATGGGCGTGATTCGTCCAACAGAATTCGCACAGAATATTGACGCTTTATATGGACTCAAGCCATGCACGTCATGGTGACATACTTCAAGCGTTAGCAACACGTGCACTTATATGGTCACAACACACCTTAACAACACGGGATCTGATGTTTTCCAAACCCTGGGAGGCGTCTATAAATGAACGTATAAATTGCCCCCACTGAGCTGAAGCATTTATAGAGATCCTTTTCATGATATTTAAGAACTGACATTCGATGTATCAGAACAAGAACCCCTTGAGTCACTCTTCAAATAAGTTTTATACTTTTACCAGGTCGGTATTAGGTTGTTTCCAACAATCTTCCAGGAATATCTCAATGGGAGTTATCAGAAATGTACAAAAGTATTCATCTCGAAAATATAACATATATGTTCAGCGCGAGAGCCTCTAGTTCACGGAACCCTTTTAGAACCTATAGTTGACGGTAACAGTCCCCAGTGAACAGTACACACCACCTACTGTAAATGGAGCAGATAACAGGTAGAATTGTTGAAATGATAAAACAGGTTCTTAAAACTGCATGAACTATCAGTTTGGGTAATTAAGAACCAAGACAAATAAACATT